ATATATATATATATATATATATATATAGTAAAATGAAATGTTCGATGAATGAATTAAGAAATTTGCACCTTTTTTGTGACAAAATTGATACCAGTATTTAATTTTTTCCAGGTGCTTTCGAACCTTACTAAAGTTTTTTTTATATATGTATAAAAAGGTGGTACCAACCCCTTATATAATGTTCTTTTATTTTAAATTCCATTGATGGAAATAATTGAATTATAAAGCTCTGAAATAATAAAGAGATAAATACATACACAGCGACAAAAAAAATTCACTACCCTGAATAACTTTTGATCTAATGATTAGATCTTCACGTTCTAGGACTCAATGGCACGTGGGAGTTGCCTTAAATAGGTTAATTAATAAGTGCAGATGATATTTCAAGTTACGATATCAGACACAAAAACGCACTTTCTCTAAATAAACATACCTTTTATTCGAAGGATTTGGATTTCTGACTCTCAAAATATGCGGGAAAGCAGCAATCTGGGAAATGGGTGATTCTTTGTAAACATGACAATACCATACCCTCCAACTTATGAAGATTTTGAAAATAATTCTTTCTAGTGGTAGCGAACCAAAGTAGAAATTTTTAAAGCAAATGGATCTCTCATAAAACTTTTATCAGAAACTTAAGAATCTAGCCATATGGCGTGCACTTTTATAAGTAATAGTGGACAAGTTACGCTAAAATTAATTTTTTTTAAATATTAAGACATTAATTTTGCTACCGTCTGAAAAGAAAATTTCTGAAACTACGGAAATTCCGTAGCAGTTGGAGGGTATGTATATATATTTATATATATATATATATATATATAGTGTCTATGTGTGAGTGAATTTCTAAGTAAATATGGTTCGTTTATATGCATTCCAATGTTACAAATAATAATAATTTATAAATTTCAGGCATTCTGCTATTGCTTTTTCAATTGTTTTATGTTTGAGTTTTGGCTCTGCGTGCATGGATGACTTTGATGAAATAAATTATTTGCAGGAAGAAAATTCTTCTCATCAACAAAATGCGAAACAAGAATGTGAGTAATATAATAAATACTATAAAAGAAAACAAAGAAACTGGAGTTTAAATTATTTATTCATCCCATTTAACATTTGTCTTTAAGAAATATACCGATCTAACGAAGTATGAGTATTATTAGTCATGGTTAAGTATGGGTATTATTAGTTACAGTTAACAAGAAACTAATTTTGAAAAACTATATCCTAATTTATAACAGAAACTAAAACGATATATTTAAAGATTCTGGGGAGGCGAATTCCTCCCCTTCCTCCATTTTAACACAAGTACTCAACTGAAAAACGTAAAAAACACTTTTTTGAAAAAATAAATTCAAAATTAACTTTTGTATTTTTTTTCAGAATTAGTTAATACGGTAGGTGACATATATCATCATGAAAGTCTTGTGCTGTTATAAGATAAATAATTTACGCACTATACGAATCGCGAAAATTATGCATCTGCAAGTAAAAAGTTATCTGCAAATAAAAAAAAATAAACGTTGTATCTTCGTTATTTACAGGAATTTCTATAATGGATTACATAATTAGAAAAGTAATAAGACTATCAAATTAAATTTAAACTGAACCTAAAAAAACTTTGCTGTAGTGCATACCGGGCATATGTATACCGAGCAGTGGTACTTTCGGACATTTACCAAAGAGACTATGTGATTGTCAACATTCACTGGAAGTTAACAATCAGCAATTTCGGTCATTCACAATAATATATTCACAACTTTTGAACTACTTTTTGTATTAACTATTTTGAAGTGATTTGAAATCGAACGTTCTCTTAACAAGTGTATCATTTCTACAGGTGACCTTCATCAAAAGCCAGTGGATTGTGCGGAGATTTTTGAAAATGGCTTCCGGAAAAGTGGCATATACCAAGTTTACCCTAAAAGCAAGAATATAGGATGTTCTTCATTCAAAGTCTATTGTGATATGGAAACAGATGGCGGAGGATGGACGGTAAGACTAATTTTTCATGCTTATGCCGTTAAGGTGGTAAATAAATGGTAATCTTCAGCTTTAAATAATGGATTTTATGTGGATATGGAAAAAGTAAGGAATAAGATTGGCTCTATCACCAATTCTATTCGACGGTTAATCTTCATTTGGATAAATTCAATTTAGGCAATAATATATTTTTATTACTGTTATGAAATCGCAGTCATTTTTAATGACTTCTTCAGCAAGTGCCCTTTATGCTTATTATGAAACAACCTCAAAATCTAAATATGAATAAAAAACGCAGTTTTTGATAATACAGAGCATATGATCGAATGTTCATGATATTTAAAACGTTGTTATAACACTATATCGTTTGGACTGATAAAAATATGCATAACATTGATTTTTTACAGATTTTTATATTTTTCGTGAAAGGGAAAAAGTTTTTTCAAAGTGGTTTTTTTCTCACAAAAATATTAATATTCATTTATGTATTTAAGCTATTTTTCCATATCTTTTTAGCCAGATAGTATGTATAGTTTAAAACTTGAGCTCATAGTATTCAAAGTTTTTTTTACTTGGTTTAATAGCTTTGAAAAACACCTGTTTTGTCTATAGGCAAAGCAAGATTTATCAGTAAATAGCTTTAAATATTTTACCTGAAATAAGGACCTTTACGTTAATCTTTCTTCTAAACGGCAGAAATTCACTTTCATGAATTCGATTGAAAATATTACTCGGATAAACTGGATTCTTTATGACATAATAACTTTTAAAGCTTTTTTCTAAAAAAAATTAATTTAAAATCAGCGGTAATTGGATAGAAAAAAATATGTATGTATGTAAAGGCAAAATTAATGGGAATGTATTATTTATTTGTTTAGGTGAAACGTAAAACATCGCCTCATTATTATTGATGCCAATAATGCTTAATTAATTTAAGTAACATATGCCTATTGAAATAAAAGAAATAAGCTTTGTGCTGGAAGGCAAAGGTCATGGAGTTAATCTATTTATTTGTCTAAAGGAAGAGTAAGAAATTGTCATATTATCCATGTCGATAATGATGCTTAATTAATGTTGATAATTTGTTAACTGACATAAGAAATTAATCAAAATTATAGCAAAAATATTGGAGAAGAGATAGTTATTTATTTTGAATCGGCATCTTATTACTGATACTAATGCTTTATTAATATTGATAATATGTATTAATTGAAATAAAATAATACAAGCTATGCGCTAAGAAAGCAAAGTTAAAGGAGAAAAGGATAATAAAAAATTTGCTTAGGAAAACAGTAGAAAATCACCAATAGCAGATAAAGCTTAATTCATATGTATTCCTGACGGTAATCTGCACTACTGGTATTATACTAATTGGTGCAGTTTTGATAAGAATTCTGCAATGGATTTTCCGTGGTTTCAATAAATATTTTTCCTGTGGTAGCAAAGATAGTTTACTGATATTTTAATGAATTAGAACAAAAGAACTTTTTTCTTCCACTGCTAAATATTTTAATAGCTAAATTAAAGGTTAGATAGAGAAGTGGTCATTTACCAAAATCCCTATCAAGTTCTAATAAGAATTCAACTTTTTTTTAAAAAATTCCGCTTTAGTTGACTTTTACTGACAAATATGTTTTTCACGAAACTTAAATGTTGAAGGGTAATGTAATAAGTACCAAATATGTTGATATAGATATAAAATATTATAATGATATATTTTGTGATGATTAAAACAGAACCAATACTAAGCCGTTTTGATACCAATACTTTAGAATGGCCCTTCGAAAAGGATATGCACCTTAGAAAATTACTTGATAATGGTAAATTTTGCCTCTTATGGATTAGCTACGAGTAACAGCATCATGACAAGTGATACTAAATGCATTTTATCTTTATTCTAATGGGATGAACGACAAAAAACAAGTTTTACTTACTTCAATAACGTAAAGCCACCGTAAATGGCAGCAAATAATTTCAAACTAAGAAAAGTGTAATTGTTTTAGTTATATTAATTGAAAAACTTAGTGGAAGAAGCAGGTGAGTGACATTTTTAGAATGAAAAAAAAGTAGCAGCCTAACTATTTCATTACCAATTTAATAGAAGACGGGACTAACAATTCTTCGCTTTACTGTTCCTAATTTAAATAAAACCTAACTACCTAAAAAATGAAACCTTATAGCCCAATTTGAAATAAAAAATCATACGAGCATGCTAAAAATGTATGTGATTAGTTGTGTTAAAATTTAAAGAAAAGCAAAACCAGTGATTTACTTATTCCCCTAAAAATGTCACTTACCTGGTTATTCCATTAAGCTCTTTAATTGTGTCACTATGTGTTTTTCAATTATGAGCATGATTTCGTAGTGTTTCACTACTGTGATTTATTGATACTTTACTTATTTTTTATTCACCCCGTGCGAAGAACGGGCATTCAGCTAGTATATATATATATATATATATACACAAATAAACATGAAAAACATGAATAAAATAAAAATAAAAAACTAAATGGTAGAGAAACAAGAATGGTATAAGCAAATAGTCGTTGTCAAGACACATCTAATTGCCATAAATAATGCGATATTTCTGAATAAAGAATAATTATCCTAAGATAAAAATTATTCTTTATATGTGTCGANTATGAAATTCATTTAATGGTAATTATTTATACGGATATTTCTGAATACTTATTATAGAAATGTTCTGTAGCTCTGGATTTAAAAAAGTATTAACTTTGAAAAAATCTTGAAGTTTGGGAAAATTATTGGTGGAAGTGGCACGCCCCCCCTATGCCCCTCCTACACGACTTCTATGGTTCTAACTTACGCATAATGATGCACAAATCATTACTAAAAAACACGATGAATATAATTCAAAAAGTTTGAATTGGAAATAAAGCACTGCATTTACTTTTTAAAAAATTTACTGTGTTATTATTAATATTTCATTTTGAGTGTCATTTTTTAAAAAAAATTAGCTCTACATATTGAGATTTACTACATAACAGAAATATCGTGGACATTTTATTTCATTTCTCAGTTACTCTGATTAATACAATGCAAGGCGGCGATTTTCCAATCCAGCGGCGTGCATGGACCCGCTCTCCTGTTCAGCATTTTTTTTAAAGAGCGCTCGCCTTCGAATGAGGTGAACCGGGTACGAATCCCAGTCGACACGAATTCCGCATCCGGTCTGCACCAACCACAGTGCTGACGTGACATATCCTCAGTGGTAGACGGATCATGGGTTAGAGTCCCCTTGCCCTCAGGCTAACCGGGGAAGGTTCTAGTGGTCTTCCTCTCCATGTAACCCAAATGTGGGTTAGCTCTATCAAAAAGTCTTCCACGAAGGTGAAATTTCTCCCAATACTCGATCTAAGAGTTCCATTGGTTTGGGTTCAAAATTACAAGGCTACGGAGTTGGACATTAGTAGTCGTAAATCCATAAAATAGGGTCTGTTGTTCAACGACGCTTATAAAATCGAATGAAATTGCTTTAGTTCAGGTAACAAATTTTAAAAGAAATAAAAGCTTGTACTGTAATTGAGGTTGTTAGATTATGAATTAGGTGACCGGCATTACATATTGGCTGCGTGCTTTGTTATAGTTTACAAACAATTATATAGTGGGGTACTTTAGTATTGTAGGAATACTGTTATATTTGAGTGCAGTGAAAAAAATTGCGTACACTTTTTTTAAAATTTGATAAAAAGCTTATTTTTATACCTCAAAATATCTTAAAAGATCTCGAACTATTTATTTTCTTTAATGTTTCGAAGCCTTTTTGGGAAATAAAAGACTTAAATCGTATCGTGTCAAATTTTGTGACAAGCGTAAAAAATTACATCATTTTAAGAATTATAGACATTTTTGGCTGAGTAAGGTTTTATTTTTATAAACTTCAAATTTTTATGTGAATTGAGTGCCTCTAAATGAAACAGTAGAGGACGTAAAATTTCAGTTTAAAGTTAGTTGATTAGTTTACGGAAATTTTAATCTACTTCACAACCATGAACATTTAAAATGAAGATACAAATTTTGTCGTCTTGTTTTGTAGTTTACGCTTTATTAATTAATTATTAAATGATGATTTATCGAACGAAAAGGCTATGAAAATTATAGTATAAATTGAAATATTAATAAAAACCTATACTTGGTAACATACACGCTATTAATATATGATTGAAATAGAGTTAAATTTAAAGAAATTGCCAACTTCTCAAGGCGGAAAAATCTTATTTTAAGTGAAAACTCTTGAAAAAGTGTAAATATACATTCTTTCCCGTATGCATGTCTAAGCAAACTTAAATAAGTGTTATTTTGTACTGTAGAGAATGCAGTTTGGTAAATAAAATTCAAAAATAAGTCATTAATAGTATAATATTTGGTTGAACTTAATTTATTAAATATTTTCAGGTAATTCAAAGAAGAGGTGATTTTAAAAGACCAATTGATTTTTTTTATAAGACTTGGAAGGAGTACAAGGAGGGATTTGGAAGTTTAAGAAGAGACTTTTGGCTAGGTAAGTTTGAAGATAATTCCCACTATTACGAGTGGAGAATATTTTTACATTGATAATAAGTCTCAAAATATTAGAGAAAAGGACACATTTTCATATGTTAACTTAATGTTAAAAACTTTATTGCTTCCCTTACACATGGAATTCTTGTAAAATTTTTATTAAAAAAAGAAAGAATGACTCATACAAGAGAAAATGATTTGTTTTGAAAGATTCGGTAAACGGAAAAAGTAAAGATGCAAATTAATCTCCCAGTTTTACATGAGGCGTATCAAGGCAAAACTAGAAAATTAATGTCCTACGTTGTATGATCTTTTCCCTGGATTTTTTTTTATAAATTTGAAATAAATGCACATAGAAACAAATGAATTTGAAACAAAGTAGCCTGAAAAACTATTTGATTGCCCTCTTTAACTTCATGACATAGGAGACAACAAAGTATTAAGGGCAGAGATTTCAAACTATTTCAGATTATCTGCGCTAAATAAATTGAATATTTTAGGGTTATTCTCTGCTAATAAAATTAAATATAACGGTTGAATATTTTCAACTATTCAGGGTGCCACTTATTCTATTTCTTTTTAAAAGTTAATCTGTAAATCACTGTTTTTATTTTAAACCATAGAGTTACATTGTGCAGCTATAGATACTATTTAACAGCTGGTTAATTATTAACTTGCTTGAAATCCTAAACAGGAAAATTATATTCAATCAACTATGTAAAATTCAAAATATTATTCAAATTTATAGTGTACAATATATTTTACTTTTTTCTCTTTATAACTCACCACACTTACGTACTTTCTGAAAGCAGCCAATGTCTCTTACGTCGTGGACTTTCATAGTGAAGGTACACTGGTCCCCCTTGCATTTTGAAGTATGGCCAAATGGCTCCAAAAATTTGACTTATTTCTGATTCTGACTTTCAGATTGATTCGAACTTGAAATGTTATGAATTTAATTAAATAAAAGCAATTTAATATAAACTTCTTGCGTTCCACACATGCCATAGGGTCACAATTTCTGGTTAGCATGTTTTGTGGTAAAAAAGCTTGCTGTCAAATATAATTGAAGCCGAAGATCCTTTCAACACTCCTTTCTAAAATATGTCAGAATCAGGATGTGACTGCTTGTCCCAGATGAATAAGAAAACAGGCTGAATTAAAAATAAAGTTCAGATGCCCAAATATTCGACCATTAAACTGATTAACTAAAACCAAAGATTCCAGATTGCTGTCATAAACTCTAATTGTGTTAGTTCTATACTTGAATGTGTCGAAAAATAAGAAGTTTTTTTCTGAAATAAGTATCCTTTTAGTCTGCATTTGAAGATAATTAATTGTCAGTGCTATTTATTCTACACATTCAGGAAAGTTATAATCAATATAATCGGAGGTAAGTAGACATAATAATAGTCTTCAAATCAAACCGAATAAGGTTGGTTATTTATTTCAATCAGAAAGATTACAAACCCCACTTTCATCAATTCAGGTGGCATTAGAAAAAGGAAAAGGTCTCCATTGGGGTAACTTAGTGACATTTAAAACATATTGAAAGTAATAACTGGCGAAAACAATGAACTGACAGACTCCGTTATAAAAAACTCGTTGCAGGTTGGCTTGTTGCTCAGAGCAGCTCAGGGTCGAAGGGCCCTGTCTATAATGTTCACTAGAAATAATCAACAAGCTGTCTGTTTCACTTATTCAATATTTTTAGTTATATTTATACAAAACCAATTTATGAAATAGACTGAAACAGAGGTTCTAAGACGCGATAGTAAGACATGACTATTTACATCACTTTCTTTTAAACGTATCAATAAATAAATTGTTCCTCACTTTATTACAAAAACAAGCTACATTTATTGAAGTCATTAGTTGATATATGTAACATTAATTAAAACTATTACCTTTACTTGATTCTGTTGAAAATAATACTTTTAGGAAATGACTTCATCCATGCCTTGACTTACCAAAAGAGGTATTCTGCTCGTTTTGATTTGGGAACAGATAATGAGACTGCTCATGCACTTTTCGATAATTTTTGGATTGAGGATGAAGATTATAAATACAAATTGCACATAAATGATCACAGTGGAACTGCAGGTTTGTTATATATATTTTAGAAAACGCTTATGGGTATGTGGTTAAAAATGAAAAAATTACTTTTCTTGCTTTGGCAACAAAGAAAGGAAATATCAAGCAATGAAAGTCGTCAATGATCAATCAGTTAGATAGCAACCAATAGGAATACATTTCCTGGAAATGCGTTTCGTTCAATAGAAATAAGGCAAATGGCTAGTTGCCATTCACAATCACAAAACTACAACAATTGATTGATTTATTCCACTCAAGGAAGTAATTCTGCCTCTGATTTGGGTATCTCTACTTCGTTTTAGATTTTTTTTTGCACAGTTGTGCAAAGCTAAAACAAACTGAGCTATAAGTTAAACAGGAATTATAAGTTAAAATACCGATTTCTAATACTTAAGAATGATTTTCTCTGAAGTCATCATGAAGCTGGCTAATGTCGGTGAGCAGAGAGTTATTAAAAATATATTATTAGTTAATTAAAAGTTCGAAAAAAAATTTTCCTTAAAATTTCAGGTTTCAATTTTGGATCGAATACTGTAAGTCAATTGAAATTTACTTAAGATGTTTGTTTGTATTGTGGTTGTAAGTATTACATATGTTTCCAAAAAAATTTATTTCGATTGAGCAAATAGAGAGCTCTGTATTTCATTAAATAAACTAATAGTAATTAATTAAACTAATGTCTGAAACCAAATCAATAATTTAATATTATATTTAACCTAAATCAGTAATCTAAGGGAAATTAATCTGCATTTAGCTAACCCTTTGACGCAGATGGAACACCGGAGACCCATTTATATAATTTTCTTATGCTCTAATTAGTAGCAAATATACATTTTGGCATTTTTTAATTATAAAAAACAGTCCAAAAAATAATCAGTCACAGTACCCAAAAAATGACCAAAATATCGATATTTTTTTATTGCTTGTAATAAAACTTCCAACTATTTCAAAAATATGCTGAAAAAATTATCTCTCTATCTAGATTTTTAAAAAAGTTATGAATGATTTTAGATTGCCCTAAAACAGAAACTTGATCAGCAGACAGATTTTAAACTGCTTTTTCTCATAAATGATAATTTTGTATTTCAATGTTAATTAAATACGTAAGGAATTTTTTTATATTTAAGATAAAGCTTAGAAGTAAAGTTTTTCTTATCTCAAGTATAATACACTTACTTAAACTGTGCATGGAATAAGTCTTTTATGAGATATTATAATTTTTACAGCATGTTATATGTACCTAACAGGAATTTTTAACCTTTTTTTCCTACTTTTTTACGAACTAATCAATAAAAATGTTCTGATTGATAGATCAATAAATGAATGCACTAAATTGCTAAGATCAGTATTGTAAGCACTAAGAAAAAAAATCTGAAAATATCTTAAAATAAAAAAGCCTTAAGTATTTAAAAATTTTGAATTTTTCAATTTTTTTTAAGAATCAAAGTTAAACAGTTTAACTATTTTTTAAAGATAAATTGTTGATCATAAGTTAAATGAGCATGTACAGCATATACAAAAGGAATGATTACACCTTTATTTAAAAAAAAAATGCTGCAAGGGTACTGTGACCCCTTGAAAAAATAAAAATCTGTTTGATTATCTGAAAAACATTAGCCCAAAAATATGAAATCCAAATAAAGTAGTTAGGGATTTCTTTCATTCATATTTAAAAAAACTATGTCTTTTCGACAAAAATAACTGCAAAAAAAGTGCAAATTTGAAAAATTATTGTTTTTAAGTGTGCTGAAGTTTACCTCGAACGCAGAAAAAGACACAAGTGTTTCATGCCATATTTCATAACATAAATAATTAAAATTCTCATTATAGTATTTTTTACTTATTTTGATCTAAAATTATATAAAATAATGAAAATAATTACGAAAAGCATGTTTAATAAAAATTCTGCGTCAAAGGGTAAATACCAAAACTTAACATTAGATAAGGGTGAGTATTTAAATTGCAAACTTACATTAAATGACATAAAATTTAAGGCTTTGACTTAATTCTGCATAACTCCTTTGTTATCCATGTTAAAAATATTAAGTAACGGAGAACCTCTTTGTTCTTTTAAGAATCACATTTAGAGACAACTGACTGTACACACAACTGAAATTCCTTAGATTGTCAGCGTTATTCAATATATTTATTGCGTTCATTTTTTCTACAGATCACTAATTTTTTTTAAAAAAGAAACTATAGTTTTTTATTTTTAATTTTTATTTATTCATTTCCAACAATTATCTTTCATTTTTTTCTAAACTATTATCTTTCATTAAAAGTATTACCTCTTAACGTTGATTATAAAACCTATTATTTTACGATATAACGCTTAAAATAATTCTAAAAAATTGTTTTGTATTTATAATAGCTGATTCTATGGTACATCACAATAACGGGATTTTTTCGACAAAGGACAAGGAAGCCCAGAAGAACTGCGTAAAAGAGTTTAAAGGAGGATGGTGGTATCAGCCTCAGCCTGTATGTTATTCGGCTAATTTAAATGGTCTGTATTTGAAAGGCTATCATAAAAAGCCCATGTGGAATGCCACAATATGGGTACATTGGAAAGGACCTTTAGTTTCTTTATCTACTGTTGAAATTAAAATTCGACCAAAGGATTATTAAATAAAATTTTTGCAACGTCTATCTTAATAACAGAATGTACATTTATTTACAGTCTGAGCATTTACATTTACCCATGCACTAGATTTTCTGTATTAATTTATAATGAGTTCTTACATAATGATTTTCTTATGAATTTATAATGATTTTCCGTATTAATTTATAAATTTGATTATGAGACTTGTGTCTTGTGTTTTATGTAAAACAACTCCTCCTAAAAGAGGGAAGGTCTGCACATGGATCATTTTAGTTCTCCGATGTGATAAACACAAACTGCGCCGTGGAAGCGTTAAGAAAGATGTTCTGAAGTTTGCGCAAAACTTCTTGCGTTCCACACATGCCA